TGATTAGATAGATAAAAAGATAGTTGTGTGATTCAGTGATCATTACCAAATTGTTTCAATAATACCTAATTTATTTTGAGAGCTTATTATGTATTGGTATATAATAATTTAATGACATTATAGGCCTGTTTTCAACATTTATACAATTTCCTTAAATCTGTGGAACATGTTAGTAATTTTCCAAAGAAAACATTTCACTACTTATTTCTGCCCTTTTGTTAGATACGACCAAATGTAAAATCAAATTTATACCACGGCATGCCACCGAACCCCTCTAGCAGTATTTAGGCTCCTGAACTCACTATTTCTAAAATGCTAGCCATGCTGTTGTCATATTGCTAACAAATGAATATTCGCTCTTCCTTTTTGAACAGTAATAGTGGATCATTATAGGGTGCCCGGTTAGCTCACCTGGTAGAGCTGGCGACCATGTACATATTTGCTGCAGCGACCCGTTGCTCTGTGTCATCCCTTCTGTCTACCCCCCTTTCCTGTCTATCTTCAGCTGTCACTATCATTAAAGGCAATAAAAGGCCCAAAAAATACATAATACATATACAAATACATGTTACATCACTGCGACAGTGAGGTACAATTTCAGGAACTGTGTGTCTCACTGGCATGAACTGTAACATTATTTACACAGTATCATCCATGTCACCAGTGTGGGTGAAGTGTAGGGATGTTTGAAGGTAGGGTGGAGGTGCATGAGTAAACAGCTTCACTTCTGTCTGAGGTTTGGCCAGCAGGCTTTCTGATGTAACCTGAAGAGGCAAAACTCAAGCTGGAAGGCAGAGATATTACCAGGTGCTTTTGGGTGTTTGTGTGTAAGGGACAGGGAGAGATGTGCGAAGGTGTCAGGAGAAGTAGTAGGCTAAAGCTTATCACACCTCTTCTGGCTGTAATGTATCAAAAATATATTTTTGTACCTGTCTGAATCTCTTCCAGTAAATAACATATAATAAAATAATGACAAATTACCATTATGGCAAATTGGCCATCGTCCGATCTCATATATGCATAATCTTTTCCTACCTATAAAGACCCTCCTGACAGCCTCCAGCAATTTATCTGTTCTGAACACCACAGAGCACATCTGCCTTCCACATTTAAATGTACAACGGAACTTGTCGTTTCCGAACATTTAAATGCAGGAGACAAACTGGAATAATCGCTGTTAGGCTCCCAAATCTACCTTGCGTGACAGTACCTATTATCATTTAATAGACTGTTCCCAATCTGCTTCTTCGAGCCTGTAGCTAATCTCCTCTAGAGATAAATCAGAGACAGTCTGAGGGCTGCTTTGTAACAGTTATGGAATACAGACGGGTCACCTGGAAACCCAGTCCTAGGGAGGAAGTTACAACTAGATGTACCATATGTGTGTGTTAATGTGTGTCGTAAATGTGTTTATATGAGAAGAGAAACTCTGCCCATGCTCAACCATCGACCCTGGCCACCCGTTTGAGATGTGCAGCAGGGTAAGAATCTCCTACTAACGCTGCTGTTGCCAGTGTTAACATAGTATTAATATATAAGTGTTGAACAAATAACCACTGCTATTGTTTGTTTTAGTCATCACAGTTCATACAAGGTGGTTTAAGAGAGGATTAGTAAATGCTGGTCAGATTGTCTGTTTCAGAAAGTTACAATAATTGATTAAAGCCAGATACTACAGGCAAAAACTTCTTCTAACATCAACGTCTTCTTTCAGGCTAGTAGAAAGACAACGCCCAAAATATACATTTAGGTATTCATTTTATTACACTTTGTCAGTTTGAATCTCTACATTTGACTAAAAGTTAGGATTAGATAATGCTTTATTTGCATCTTTAAATATAGCATTTCAGAAAAGAAGCTGATAGTCCTGTTTGGTGTCAAATGTTGTCAAATTTAACACATTAATTTAGATTCATTCATGATAAAAATGACATGTTAAAAAATGGAAATAACTGGACATAATTGAAGGATCTGTTATGGTCATATCTTAAGTTATAGGCATAAGGTCATTGACAAAGGAATAATGTCTGAAGATTTGCAAATAAAGCGATATGGTTTAAAAAATTGATATATGTGATTGTTTACGATTAAATCAACATATATTTGTGCCACCCTCTGACCACCCCTAGATCTGCCCCTGCACTTCAGCTCTTCACACCTTCCAGGTTTACTCCCATCTAGATTCTGGAGGTTTTTACAGAGGGGTTTGTTCATATATTATTAATCACCTGATTTATATATTTTATTCCTAAAAACATGCAAAAAAAAAAATGTATGGCTGTTGACAGTATTTCTCATTCATGGAGTGATAAAAACAGATCTCTGTGCAAAACCTTAGCCTCCAACATGTCAACAAAATGAAATGTTGAACCTGGCTTTATCCAGTGTTTACATTTCTGTTCTGTAAGTCTATGCATT